TATAGCTGTGGTGTGGACTCTGCTATTCTTTAATATTGAGAACGATTTTTAGAACTACATCTTTATCGTTATCTTTATAGTTATCATCCTTGGTGTACGGGCCTTTATATGCCAATAATCTTATTCAAATATCTGACAATGAATTGCTTGTTGATGAGTTATCATAGCATTATTTATATTACAGTATTTATTAATATTTTGAATTATTTTATTTTTATATTTTAAGTTTTCATTTTGTTTTAGAAATGCTGTTATGTGCTTTTGTCATTTTAATTTTTTTTTATATTTCCATTTTAAAATGTACAATTTTTATGATAATTTTAGCACTTAAACTTATTTTATTTCAGTAAGCTGCCTAGGCATCATTTATAATTTTAATTTACGTTTTATATTTATTTATTTATACAAAACTCATATTTATTTTATTTCAGCTTTGTTTAAATTCAAACTAATTTTAACCATTTTAGTTTATTAGTTTTTTTATATATATTTTTTTTACTGTTCCTGATAGATCAATAAAATCAACCCAGCATTTTTAATGGTACAGAAACTTAGAGATTTTTCATTTTAGTTTCGATTTTACATTTTCTCCATCTTCATCATTACTAACATTTAAAATTTTCATTGTCATAATCAAAGACTATTTAAAAGATTAATAATGCACAACATCACAGCTTTGGAATTTCAAATGACTTATTTTAAGGTCTTCAGACAATCACAAGACTACATGAAGAGTGTTTTTGTGTAGCTGAATGTCCTGAGGCCTCCTCCACAGCCAGGATTGGAACAGCACTGTTTACAGCTCTCAGTATTCCCAATGAGAGGTTATAATTGTGCTCCCAATGGTCACAGAGACAGGAACGTCCGTCACATGTTAGTTTCAAACATGCATGAGAGCGTGTGCTGTGCTTGCGTAGAGACAAAGAGAGAAAAGGAAGAAACAAGCATAAAAAGAGCTGTAATACAGCATATTCCCTTATGAACTAATAGCGAAATGAGACGAATATCAACACAACAAGACATGCATAATCCCAATGCTGATCCTTGTATGTGCCGCTGGACAGACAGGTTTGATTTCCTTCGTTACAGCAAGATTTACGGTCCAATTTATGACCTTATCCACCTGCTGAAAGCCATTATACAAACACACGCACGCTCCATTACACCAGACCGGGATAGTTGCTCTGGTGCTTGATGCGGACTTGCTCAAAACAGCTGGAAGACAAAACTCATTTGGCTGACTCTCAAATACACACACACAAAACCCATCAGTGCACTAGAAAACAAAAGGGTGAGTGTTGGGCAGACAGTACGGTGTCACTGCAGAAATGAAGGCCAGGATGAAATATTCTAGACGCGATATTGCAATTTAACACAGAAAAACTACCAGGGCAGACTGTCCACAGCAAAACCACAAAATTTGCTCCGCCTAATACTCAGCTGTACACTACATATACTGCATGAGGGAACTTTGGGTCATGACTCAACCCCTCATAAGACTATATTTCACTCTAACAGATAGGCCTATCTATACTGCATTTTGAGTTCAAACAAGTACTTTAAATATATGCAAAAAGCCAGAATGAGGATACTTTACTGCCATTCAATAACTACAATTTCTAGCATGTAAAGTCATTTTCATAATGTAAATAAATTAGTAATTATGCACTGACTGAAAATAGGCGGGATGAGCAAAATTTTAAACTATAAGGAGAAGCCAATGTTACGCCAAACCAATGATGTCAGCATTTTAATGATATTTTTTTTTCTCTGAAAAGTTACAAATTCAACACAAAACATGAAAATGACTGACTTCAGAAGAGGTGCATTCAAGCCATTAATAATTAAGAATAAGAACGTGAATAGCTTTATTTATCTGGCCAACATCATTTACTCTTAAAACCTCACCTTCACAAACAACATATTTTAATAAACTAACCTAAAACCTGAGATGTAAGAACATTTGGATTATATATAGCCTAGTGTCATCGACAGGCCATAAACAAACAAACAAACAAACATACGATATGATTGGAAGTGGGGTTGACTTCATTTCATGCTCTAAATATACACATGTATTTCATGGTTCCTAATAGAAGCATAAATAGTAAAGCCATAATAAATCCCTTAAAATGGTCTTTGTTCATTCATGTTATTAAAGTAGGCCAAATCATAACAGACTGACATCAGTGACTTATGATCACATTCTCCTCATTTATTCATTTT